CATTGAAATTTATAATGCCCCGAGGTCCATCCATGTTGTTGCAAATGGCAATATTTCCTTGTTTTTTATTGCTGAATAATATTCCATTGTATTTATATATGTACACCACATTTTCTTTATCCATTCATCTGTTGATGGACACTTAGGTTGTTTCCATGTCTTGGTTATTGTGACTACTGCTACAATGAACATAGGGGTGCAGATATTTCTTTGAAATAGTGATTCCATCTCCTGTTTCCTTGATCATCTCACTAGATGCAGAAAAGCATTTGACAAAATATAGCATCCTTTAGTGATAAAACCCTCAACAAATTGAGTGTAAAAGGAACATATGTCAATCTAATAAAGGCCACACATGACAAACTCATAGCTAACATCATACTCATTGGTGAAAGATTGAAAGCTTTTCACTTGCATACAAAAGCTCCAGCCTTTTACCCCCCTCTTTATATTTTTGGTGTCACAATTTACCTCTTTTTATATTGTGAATTTGTTAACAGATTACAGTAGTTATAGCTATTTTTAATACTCTTTTCCTTTAACCTTTATACTGTGCAAGTGGTTAATACACTATCCTGTTACGGAATTAGAGTTTTCCTAAATCTGACTGTGTATTTACCTTTACCAGTGTGTTGTATATTTTCATGTCACTAATTAGCATCTTTTCATTTCAGCTTGAGGAACTCCTTTCAGCCTTTCTTGCAAGGCAGGTCTAGTGGTGATGAACTCCCTCAGCTTTTGTTTGCCTGTGAAAGTCTTTACTCTTCCCTGGCCTGTAGGGTTTCTGCTGAGAAATCTACTGATGGCCTAATGGGGTTCCATGTGTAGGTTCCAATCATTTTTTCTCTAGCTGCTTTCAGGATTCTCTTTTTCTTTGATTTTTGACAGTTTTATTATAATGTGTCTTGGAGAAGGTCTTTTGGCGTTGAGATAATAGCGTGATCTATTAGCTTTGTGAACTTGAATGCCTAAGTCTCTCCCCAGGTTTGGGAAGTTCTCAGCTATTACTTCTTTAAATAAACTTTCTGGCTTCTTTCTTCTTTATTCTCCTTCTGGACCCCTGATTATGTTAATAATTGTACGTCTGATTGACTCCCATAGATCATGTAGTTTCTTTGCTCTGTTTCCTTTTTTTTTTTCTGTTTGCCTCTAATTGAGTTATTTCAAAATTCCTGTCTTCTAGGTCACTTATTCTATCTTCCATTTGATCTGTCCTGTTGCAGATTCTCTCTATTGCATTTTTCATTTCATTCATTGCATTCTTCAGCTCCAGAGTTTCTGTTTAGTTCTTTTTTATTTTTTTTAATGGTTTCTATCGCTTTGCTAAATTTCTCATTTTGTTCATGTAATTTTTTCCTGATTTCATTGAATTGTCTTTCTGTGTTTTCTTGTACCTCGTTGTTTCCTCAAAACAGCTATTTTGAATTCTTTATCCACTAAATCACAAGATTTCATGACTTAGAGCTCAGTTATTGAAGGATTATTACCTTTTGGTGATCCTTTCTTGATTCTTTGTGTTCTTTGTAATGTTGTGTTGCTGCTTTTGCCTTTGAAGTAAGAGAGACCTCCTCAAATCTTTACTTGTTGCCTTCAGATGGGATATATTGTTCACTGATCCTGTTATATCTGGGGTTCTCTCTCACCTGGTATTTAGACACCTGCTCCACACTTCTTCCTCCCTCTTGTGGCAGAATTCTTAAGCTTTTATGTCTTCTCTGGTGCTTACAACTCTCTTGTAAGAAACTTGCTGGAAACTTCTCTTTTATTTTCCAGAAGGTGGTGCTATACCTCAAGTTTGTAGTTTCTTTCTTGCCTACAGAGCCTGGTGTCTTTTTCTGATAGCACTCCATTTACTCAACTCTTGCTGCCAACTCTTGCCCATGCAAGGAGCCACTGCAGAGTGCAGGGAGGTGTAGGTTTAGCAGTTGGGGCATTGGGAATGCCTGCCAGCTGGTAGGAAGATCCTTGGATGAGTCTTGTGAGTGGACTTCCTGCTGAAGTCCTGAGAGCAGTCAGCAGGAACCACATCCCTTTAATGCCCTTTGATTTCTTATCTGCCTCTTTCTTTTTATTTTAATTTTATTTTTAAAGATTGGCACCTAAGCTAACAACTGTTGCCAATCTTTTTTTTTTTTTCTGCTTTATCTCCCCAAACTCCCCCGTACGTAGTTGTATATCTTAGTTGTGGGTCCTTCCAGTTGTGGCATGTGGGACGCTGCCTCAACATGACCTGACGAGCAGTGCCATGTCCGTGCCCAGGATCCTAACCCTGGGCCGCCGCAGTGGAGTGCGCGAACTTAACCACTCGGCCACGGGGCCGACCCCCTGCCTCTTTCTTGATATCCTCCCTACCCTGAGTCATGGAGGTCCTGCTTCAGTACTCTGAGTGTTGCTGGAGAGAAATGAGTTTCTCCTATAGCATCCAGCACAGCTGGGGTAGTTAGGCAGTCACACACTGCTCTCCTTTTGCTGGAAAAATTCATCTTCCCCTCTGCTGCATCTGAACTCTTTTTTTTCCACCCCCAGTGGTGTGCTGGACTCTCCCCTCTGGAGGGCTGGACTTTTATAAATTCTCTCTGGTTCAGGGATATTTGCCCAAGTCAGCCCCCTCCAGGTGTTCTCCATCCGCACCTGGGAGGGGTTGGAACAGGTTTGCTGGCTCCACTGGTTCTGCAGCCCAAACCCAGGTCTGTCTGCCTATTGCCAGATGAACAGGTGGGCAAGACGCCTCCCCGTTCCTTGGTGTGTGTTGTTGGATCAGCCAACTCCCACAGAAGCACTTTTGTTTGTAGATAGATGCCTAATTAGTTGTTAACAAAAGGAGGACAAAAAGTAGGGATGTCTTATGCCACCATGATGTTGATGTCACTCCCCTTTCACTGCATTTACATCCTTTGTTGACTACTCTTGTTAGACTATTTATGTTTTCTATTTTCTTCACCACTCTTCTCTTTGTATCTACCAAATTTATATCTATTTTATGCACGTCACTGTCATTTTGGTGGGGGCTTCAGAGAGAAGGAGTGATCATAAACACATGCATTCAATATGCTGTGTTTAGACTGATAGAGCCTTTTTTGGGTACAATTCAGAATGCATAAAACTTCAAAATGCTTATGCCCTTTGACGCAGTTGTTCTATTTCTAGATAACTAAACTGTAGAAATAATTCTGCATATGCATAAAGAGATGTATCCAAGGACAAAAGGACATTGATTCTAGCATTGATTATAATATGAAAAATTAGAAACAATTTATATACTATCAATAAGGAAATGGTTAAATAAACTTTGATAGATCTATACTACAGAACATTATGCAGTAGTCAAAAAGATTGCTGTTGACCTACATACACACATCTGGAAATCTCTCTAAGAAATGTTCTTAAATTTAGGGGGCTGGCCCGGTGGCTCAGTGGTTAGGTTTGTGTGCTCTGCTTCGGCAGCCCAGGGTTTCACTGGTTCAAATCCTGGGCACAGACATGGCACCGCTCATCAAGCCATGCTGAGGCAGTGTCCCACATGCCACAATTAAAGGGACCCACAGCTGAAAATACACAACTATGTACCGGGGGGCTTTGGGGAGAAAAAGGAAAAATAAAATCTTAAAAAAAATTAAAAAAAGAAATATTCTTAAATTTAAAAAGCAAATGTGTGTCATATATGATCCTACCTATATTCTTAAAAAGCCCACAAAATAATATATATTTTGATCCATACTTATAAGTGAATATAGATGATGGAAAACGAATTTGCTGATGCCCAATCTTGGGTCCTGTCAGTTGACCATGCCCTGCAACTCAAGGCTAGGCATGTCCCTATATTCTCACACTTAGGTAGGGAAAGGTTCTCATTCTGTTGAGCACATCATACAGGGAGGATCACTGGACCTGCTAAGCATAGTACTCTTCACCAGAATGATTATTTTCTCCTCTCACCAAGGAAGAGCTCAAATTCCTTCCCCCAAAATTAACCAGATGAAGTCATTCCAAAATGCCTACACTGGCTTTCAATCTGTGATTGTATAAGTTATCTATTGCTGCATGCAAATTACCTCAAAACTTAACAACTTAAAACAACACACATTATTATTTCTCAGTGTCTTTGGGTCAGGAATCTGGGTTTGGCTTCGCTGGATTCTCTGGTTCAAGGTCTCCCACAAGCTTGCTGCTGGTCCAGGGCTGTGGTCACCTCAAGGCTCCAGGATCATTCACTTCTAAGCTCACTTACATGGCTGTTGGCATGATCTATGCCTTTGAAGGCTGTTAGCCAGAGGCCATTCCTAGTTCCTTGTTATGCAGGCCTCTCTGTGGTACAGCTTACAAGATGGCAGCTGGCTTTATCAGAGCCAGTGAGTGAGAAAAGACAGAGGGAGAGAGAGAGAGAGAGAGAGAACATGAGCAAGTTGGAAGTCAGTCTTAGGTTACCTAATCTTGGAATCATCCATCACTTTTGCCATAATCTATTTGTTAGAAATAAGTCACGAGGTTCAAACTTCTAGGTCCAGCCCTCAAAGGGAGGGACTTGCACAAGAGTGTGATTACCAAGGAGTGGGGGTCATCTTAGAAGTTGCCCACAACTATGATCAAAAGGTAATTCAAGGGATTGCAGGAGCAAGTTCAGAAGCAAAGATTTTTCTGGTATAGGTAAAAAGGGGCTTTAGACAGATACAGCTCTTAAGCAAATGGCATCTAAGCCCAGTTACTTGCTTTCAGTAGGTGCTAAATAATATTTATTTTTTTACTTTTCATTTTGAAACAATCTCAGACTTAAAGTTGTAAGAATAGTAAAAGAATACCATACACCCTTTACCCAGATTCACCATTTGTTGATAATTATATTTTGAATACATTATGCACTTTGTCACTTGGGAAGGCAATGCTATATCCATCAAGCTTTGCGGTCTGCTGAGAGCTGTGCCAAGTGGGCTGGAGTCATATTTGCTCTCTGCATCTGGAGTTGTCATCTCTCAAATGCTGTCTTCTTCTCTCCACTCCCCCAGAAAATCCCGAGCGAGCAGCTCTGTACTTCGTCTCAGGCGTGTGCATCGGGCTGGTCCTCACCCTGGCTGCCTTGGTGGTGAGGATCTCCTGCCGCACAGACTGCCGGCGGCGACCCCGGAAGAAGTTCCTGCACGAGCAAGAGAGCAGCAGCAGTGACAGCAGCGACAGCGAGGATGGCAGCTCGGACACGGCATCGGACATCTCTGTCAGGAGACACCGCCGCTTCGAGAGGACTTTGAACAAGAACGTCTTCACCTCGGCGGAGGAGCTGGAGCGAGCCCAAAGGCTGGAGGAGCGCGAGCGCATCATCCGAGAGATCTGGATGAACGGCCAGCCCGAGGTTCCAGGGACCAGGAGCCTGAACCGCTACTACTAGGGGCAGGAGCAGGAACCCGCACACCCCTGGAAGCCGCCTGCAAGGGAAAGTGTCTGCAGGGAGGGTGGGCACAAAGGGCTGAAGGCAGTTGTGCTACTGTTCCAAAGGCAGAGATAAAGCAGGACACGCCCATTTTCTAGCCAGGAGGACTGATATCTCCTTTTTAACTAAATTTATGGAGAAGTAGAAAAACCAAGTCGATTCATCAACCTTTCTAGGTCTCGGAATGGTGCTGAAAACCCCTCTCCAACAAGGTGCATGGAGATTAGAGAAACGGGACTTTGGTTTCTCTTGATTTCTGAGGATCTCAGAAATTTCTGCAGACTTGCTTGCTATGCGTTATTCTTTTACAAAAGGAAAGATTATCGTAGCATGCGGGCCAGGAATAGCAGGGTGAGCTTAACCCAGTAAATGCAATTTCCTAAATGACTCTGTGCTGTGGAGGTGATTCTGATCCAGACAGCATGATCCATACTTAACTATTTAAGGCTGATTTTTTAAATCTCATGTTGTAATGGCAACCTCGTCCATTTTAACTGGCACCTCAGGGATCAAAATCCTATTTTTTAGTATAGTTCCCACCTCATTCATGAAAATGAATCCAATTATTGTATTATGGGAGATGTGTCAGTGAACTAAAAAAATGTCAATAACCTCAAAGGATGAAGGGTTTTATTTTAAATAGTTTATAAAATATATATTAACATGCATATTTGAAAATGCTGCATAAGAATAAAAGCTGTGGGTCCCCCGTCCCTTTTTTCTGGAGAGAGCAAAGTTTTGTTGTGACTTGAGATAATCATGATTTTAAACATTTTGTTAAAAAAAAAAGTTGGACTTCCAAGAAAAGAATGGGAATGAGAGGTGAGGAGTAAAAACAAAATTAAGATGGGATAAAAAATAAATGTTACAAAAAATCTTTTTCTTTCATGTTGGCCTCTGTGGTTACACGCACTTTCTAGGGCAGCCCTTTTCTCTCTGGTTACACTCATCTTCTATGGCAGCCCTTTTATCTAGGTGGGTATGGGCTTTTGCCAGGTCCTTCAAATAACTGGAGAGTTGGAGAAACTGGAGAATGGAGAAATGGCCCCTGTGTGACTAGGGGCTTTTCATTTCCCATCTGTGGTATGTTCCGGTTACGGTCTAGTTGAGTGATTGTTAAGCAGGTAGAGGAATAGAAGACTTACCTACGGCTGGAGATAAAATGGTGGCCCTGTGTGGAGAGGGAAAGTTGGCAGGGAAGGAAGAGAGGCAAGAGTGCACCACACTTAGAAATCGGTTACAGGGGTGGAAGCAGCATCCTCCAGCCTGAAAGATAGGAATATGAGCTCTGTCTATCGGCTCCCTTTTCTTGCTGAGTGGGCTCCGTAGGCAGTCTGTCTGGATGCTCCAGAGTCTGCCTTCTGGGAGAGTTTCCCCTGTCCACTGGCTTCATCACCATGCCTGCAAGGATAGTTGGGACGCTTCCTCTGCTGGGGTCTCTCTTGCTTTAGCATCCTGCTGTCTGTAATAGGAGCTTGGAGGGCTGTCTTAAGAAGTGAGCAGTCGTAAATCTCTCTTTGCCAAGGGGGCAGTACATTTTCTTGAAACCCTCGGTGGCTGGCCTGATTATATCATTTTGGGTGGTCTCATTGTCTAGTAACAATGCCAAAACTCTTGTTAAATTAGTTTCTCTGAATCTGGGTTCCCACCCTTGTCGATCAGTCTCTTGGTAATTGCAGGAATCACCCCATCCTCCTGGGCACTAGATTAACGTCGTCTGGCTTGGTCTTCTGCCTCTCAGAAAAGTGAAACAATGAGGAGCTGCCTTCATTGCCAGGATGCATCCATAGCTGGTTACAGGAGGGATGTGACCCTTAGGTTAGGCAGGGGCTCTGGTGACTGCAGAGGTGGACGTGTTTGGGAAGACCCCAGGGCCTCTGCCTTTCCCGGTTCTCACTACAATATCCTGTTGCCTTTCTACCAAGTCCATAAAGTTTCCATTTTTAGGGTGGTGGGTGCTTTGCCTGAGCACAAAACAGGTAACTAGGTACCTAGGTACTATACTAGATAAAAGTTTAACCTGCTGCTTCACTTCCATATACCAAGGATTCTGGCTTTTTTAGCCAAGATATTGGCTGAATATCAAGCAGTTCCACCTTTTAAGTCTGTCACTCACTCCTGGTTCCAGATTCTGTATTAGGACACTTTCATTTGCAACAGAAAAGATACTCAACTTAAGAGCATCATTTGATTCCCATAGCTGGGAGGGGCAGAGTTGGGTCTGGCTTCAGGTATGACTGGGTCCAGAAGCTCAAATGCTATCAAAAAAGTTCGATCTCTCTCAGCTTTCATCTCTGCTGCTCTCTGTCACTTGTCTCATTTTCTTCTACTGCAGATGAAACTGTAACCCATTTGTACCAATATAGTGTGTTGAACTGCTTGCTACCGATCAAACTCCCACACAGCTCACAGGTTGTGTAGTGTGTGTGTGTGTGTGTGTGTGGCACAGTTTCGGAGCTTATCTAGCTCAGGAGAGAGCATGGAAGGGATGCTTTTGATGTAGCTTCCCTGTTCTTCCGTGGTTCCACAGAGAGGCACTAGCTGTCAATCATCTGAGAAGATGTGAGGAAGTGTAGGTGCCTTAGGCGGCTCCCACCAACTTCCCTGAAGAGCCTCTTCCTGTGCTGCGAGGCACAAGTGGCCAATACGAACTCATGGCACATCTAAAGCCACTCAGGGACCTTTGTCATTGGCAGGGAATATGACACAGGCTCTTCTGGATTTACATCATTCCAATATAAGAGCACAAGAGGAAAGAAACTTCTTCTTCAAGGCCAAAATATACAATCACAGGGAGGGACTGCTTGGCCTGGCTCCTGTAGTGTGCCCATCCATGGACCAGCCACTGTGGCCCAGGGGTGGCTCTGGCTAAGAGGAGAATGGGGATACGGTGCTGGGCAGACACTAGCAATCACCACTGCACCACTCTTTCCTCTCTTCCTTGGTTTTCTTCTCTCTCTCTTGATTTTTAGTTTTCTTTTTCTTTAAAGATTGGCACCTGAGTTAACGTCTGTTGCCAATCTTTTTTTCTTCACCTCCTCAAAGCCTGCCAGTACATAGTTGTATATTCAAGTTGTGGGTCCTCTGGCTTTGCTATGTGGGACACCACCTCAGCGTGACCTGATGAGCGGTGCTAGGTCTATGCCCAGGATCTGAACTGGCGAAACCCTGGGCTGCCGAAGTGGAGCGCACAAACTTAACCATTCTGCCACGGGGCTGGCCCCAGTTTTTAATTTTCCTAACATTCTCTTTTTTCCTCACTCCGTCGATATGAGTCTGTCCTTCTCACCTTGACCCACTGATCTTCTCATTCCACATATCCTGAGACATCTCAAAGCTCACAATGGCTCTAATAACTTCCTGCAGACTGCTGATTTGCAATGTCTCTCTCCAGTCCTACCTAAGTTTCAGATTCATATCGCCCCCTGGGCCTCAACCACAGGAGGCAGCTGCCCTACAGGAAGTCTTGGCAATGTCAGGAAAACATTTTGTTTGTCACAATTGAGTGGGTGGGATGTTATTGGTGTCTGGTAGGTAGAGGCCGGGATGCTGCTGAACTCAACCTTCGAGCCTTTCCCATCAAGGTCCCGGCATGGGAGTGAAGAAATCTCCATGTGATTCCAGCCATATGGTTCTTCCAAACCAAAGCCCCCAACCCTGGGGAATAGACATGAATCACTCCTGCTGAGCCCCATCCAACTTCTTGGCCTACGGAATCCATGAGCACAATAAATTCGTTGTTTTATGCCCCTAAGTTTTCAGGTGGTCTGTTACACAATCATAACTGGACAATGCCCCAGACTGTACTCACCTTTTCCTGAATCTACCAGTCTACCTGTATTTTTTATAGGTATACATTTCTATGGCAGTTCATGACAAGACAAGTTACAGGGTTGCTCAAGTCAGAAGCCCAGGACTGATTCCAGGCTCTTCCTTTTCCTTTAACCCTCAATTATAACCAGTTAGCAAATCTTCCAAATTTTAAGTTATCTGTATTTCTTGCATCAATCCTTCCATCACAACATAGTTCAAGCCCTTATTATCTCCTGCCTGAACAATTGTTCAAAAACCTTCAAACTTCTCTGAGTCTTGCCTGCCTCAATGCCATCCTGAATATAGATGCCAAAAGGATTTCTGTTAAATGCATAGCTGCCCATGTGTCCATGCCTCTTTTAACCCCCCAGTTTCTTCCCATTGCTTATTGAAAATGTCCAAATGCCTTTAGAGACCATGCCAGGCTCCCCAGGACAGGCCCCTGCAGCTGATCTCCTGCCCCTCCTTGCCCATTCCTTTCACTCTAATAAGATGGAATTGTTTATAGTTCCCTTCCACATTCTTGATTCTGATCATTGCTTTTGCCTGAAATACCTTCCATACCTCTGTCTCTCATTCTGCTACCCATCCTCAAGGCTCAGCAAAGAGTTTTACCTGCCAGAAGGTCTTCCAAGACCTCTCCAGGCTGGGCTAAGTATTATCCTTTAAGTTTCCATGTATCCTGTGTTTGCTAAGATCATTGCTCTTACCACATTGTTGTGAAATTATCCATCTGTGCCTCAAAGGCAGGAAGTCTGTCTTGTTCATCTTGGATCCCAGCAGGATGCACACAGCTTGTCACAGCATATGCTTTCAGCAACTATTTATTGAACTGTAGTAAAGACTGATGTATTCAAACCCTATTTCCTTTGCCTCCTGGGCACATAGATGGACTACATTTCCCAGACTCTCTTGTAGTTAGATGTGGCCATGTCACCAAGTTCTGCCCTGTAGAATATAGCAGGCTTCCCTAAGTGACATTTGCGTTTCGATGGTGCATGGCTCATAAAAGCTTCCACGTGATCCTCTGTATTCCCCTTCTTCCTACCTGCTGACTTGAGGTACTAGATCCAGCAAAGAATTCTGAGGCTCTAAGGGTGGTGGAACCACAAAAACGAAGGAGCCTGGGTTTTGAATGACCACATAGAAGGCCACACACTGACCAGGAACATCCACATTGTACTTTGTGTGAGCAAAGAGAGGTTGATGAGATAAATTCCTGAATCTAGAGCTAGAAGGACTCTTGAAAGTCTCTGGTTCCAACTCCCTATCTCTAGATAGGCTTACTCCTAACTCATTCTTCACGAGTAAAATTGATCCTAGAACTTTAGAAGGAATTCTATGGATCAGAGTAACCCTCTTATTTTGGGAACCATTTCCCATTACTACTTTTAACTTCTTTTATTTGATTTGATATACATATATTTTGTAAAGTGGTTACCACAATAAGGGTAGCTAATACATCCATCACCTCACATAGTTACCTCTTTTGTATGTGTATGGTGAGAATATTTAAGATCTACTCTCTTAGCAAATTTCAAGTATACACTACAGTATTGTTAACTATAGTCACCATACTGTATGTTAGATCCCCAGGACTTATTCATCTTATAACTGAAAGTTTGTAGCCTTTGTCCAACATCTCTACATTTCCCCTACCTTCCCAGCCCCAAGAATCACTAATATATTCTGTTTCTCTGAGTTCAGCTTTTTTAGATTCCACGTATAAGTTATATCATACAGTATTTGCCTTTCTCTGTCTGACTTATTTCACTTAGCATAATGCCCTCAAGGTTATCCATGTTGTCACAAACAGTAGAATTTCCTTCTTTCTTGTGCCTGAATAATATTGCATTGTATATATACATATACCATATCTTCTTTATTCATTCATCCATCAATGGACACTTAGGTTGTTTCCATGTCTTGGTTATTGTGAATAATGCTGCAATGAACATGGGGGTGCAGATATCTTTTCGAGATGGTGACTTCATTTCCTTCAGATATATACCCGGAAGTCGAATTGCTGGATCATGGTAGTTCTTTTTTAAATTTTTTGAGAAA